ACGAGAGTGTGAACTAGGCTGGGCATACTACATTGATAAGCTTTCTTTGCCTTTCTTTGGAGTAGTATTTCCTGGTTCTGCTCCAGAGCTGGAGAGAGTGTTTATTGAGGTGTTTGTTTAGTGTTACTGTGTAATGGGGAACAGCAAATGGGTGATACATAAATGAGAGAGGCGGTTGAAGAGTATGCAATTTATTTACAAACTAACCAAAATGTCAATCTCCAAATAAGCATTGTCCCTTTGAAGTACTCACCTTGGGTCACTGTGTGTTGACCTCTCACCTTGTAGGGCTAAACAAGAATAGTGATTTAATGTGACAAGACTAGTATTCTGAGTGGCTGACAGGTGGGTGCCCAGGGACTTCCCGGCTGTGTATTGGCAACAGAAGCCTTGCTGACGTTGAGGACAGCTTTGCAGGCCAGGCCCCCACATGGAGGTGGGGTCACTGTTTGGTCTCAGCCTGCCCACGACGCGATTCAGAGAACCACACGGGAGACTGTTGGTGGTCAGGGATGGGGCGTGGGGCACACGTGAGACGCTGCAGGATTCACCCAGCATTCGTCTGATAAGCTCAAAATGAGAGCAGCCGGATTTCTGGCTCCCCCTCTCTGGCTAATAAGGACATGGGTTAGCTGTGCTTGTTCGAGCCTCTGTGGCCCACCCTGTCCGTCTGCTGAAGTTGTGTCAGGGACAGGCAGCTCTCTTGCGCTCTGTTCAGTACAGAAAACCCAGGAAGCCCTGCCAGGGGAAATGGCAGTTCATAGCCGGGCCAACAAGGTCATAGCCAGGCCAGCAAGCAGACTGCCCGGGGCCGCCTAGGGTCCCCTGAGCCCCTTCAGGCCAGAAAGCAGAGCAGTGTTGACTGAGGGGAAATAAGTATGTCTAAGTATTTCTTTTTTTTTTTTTTTTATGTTTATTTTTGAGAGAGAGAAAGAACGCGCATGTGCAGGGGAGGGGCAGAGAGAGAGTGAGGTCGGCTCTGCACTCACAGCAGAGAGCCTGACAAGGGCTCGAACTCATGAACCACGAGATCATGACCTGAGCCAAAGTCAGACACTTAACCAACTGAGCCACCCAGGCACCCATGGCTAACTATTTCTTGAAGTCAGTTAGAGATGACTATAAAAAAAGTTTCACTTCTCTAAAAAAAAAAGTTTTTTGGTCTTGGAACAGAGTGTCATTAGCATTAAAATTGTCCAACAGGAGGGTCGCCTGGGTGGCTCAGTTGGTTAAACGTCTGACTCTTGATCTCAGCTCAGGTCTTGATCTCAGGGTCATGGGTTCAAGACCTACATTGGGCTCTGCACTGGGCATGAAGCCTACTTAAAAAAAATTATCCTGGGGCGCCTGGGTGGCGCAGTCGGTTGGGCGTCCGACTTCAGCCAGGTCACGATCTCGCGGTCCGTGGGTTCGAGCCCCGCGTCGGGCTCTGGGCTGATGGCTCAGAGCCTGGAGCCTGTTTCAGATTCTGTGTCTCCCTCTCTCTCTGCCCCTCCCCCGTTCATGCTCTGTCTCTCTCTGTCCCAAAAAAATAAATAAACGTTAAAAAAAAAAAAATTATCCAATATGGTAGTATTGCTCACTTTTTTAGGTATGATCATGGTTTTGTGGGATTTTTTCAAAGTCATTATCTTTTAGAACTAAATACTGAAATATTTACCGATGAGATGTTGGGTCTCGGATTTGTTTCAAAATAACCCATCGTGGGGAAAGACCAGAGTAGAAACAGGATTTATAGATGAGACTAAATTGGATATGAGTTAATAATTCCTGAAGCTGGGTGCTGGGCCCATGGGTGTTCATATACTTTTCTATTGTTTTTGTATATATTTAAAACTTCCCCTAACAAAAGCCTTTTTTGGTTTTTTTTTTTAAGTTACCTGATATAAAACATCTAACTTCTTAGGGAAAAAAGCCAAACAGGGATATCAAGTCTAGACACTGGCCACAGGGAAGACACTAGGAGGGAAACGTGCCACCCTTCTGGATGACACTTGCCCACTCCAGACTGTGCAGCCTGTGTTAGCTCGGCCTACTAAAACCACCACAAACAGGGGCTTAGACGGCAGACGTGGATGCCTCACAGTTCCAGAGGCTGGAGTCGGGCATCAGGGAGCCAGCACGGTGGGGTTCCGGTGAGAGTTCCTCTGAGTCACAGGTGGCCGGCTTCGCGTTGTGTCCTCACACGATGGAAGGGGTGAGGGAGCTCTCCGGGGTCCCTTTTATAAAACAGAGCACTGACCCTGCTCGCGGGGGCTCTACCCTCGTGACCTACTCACCTCTCAAAGTCCCCTCCTCCAAATACCGTCACATTTGGGATTAGGATTTGAACATGAGTTTGGGGAGGACACACACATGCAGTCCATACCTGAGCTGTCCTTAGATTCTGTGACGTGTCAGATTTTGACGGGGTTCAGGGGGTGATTGGGACCCTTCCTGACGCCTCCTGTAGGAGTTCAGAACATTCATCTGACAAGTTCAGAGGGCACTCAACTGCTAGTTGAGTGCCTTTCTCTTTCTCAGCCAGGCGTGCAAGGGCCTGGCTTAGTGTTACTTCCCTGACCAGTGCTGTGTCCTGTGTGCCTCCCTGCTTTCCCAGCACGCAGATCCAGGTGGTCTCTGCCGCCCACCAGCCCCTCGCCCGCGCGTCCTGTGGCACCGAGGGATTCCGGAATGCCAAGAAGGGCACTGGCATCGCCGCACAAACAGCAGGCATAGCTGCAGCCGCGGTAAGCGTGTGTCTCTCTGGCGCCCCCTGCATTGTGTGCTGGTTTGTGCAGGCCTGATCCCTGGGAGGGAGCTTCTCCTTGAATAGTCCCCCAGGAGCAGTGGTGTTTGCCAACTGTTGTTCGATACCCTAACATCGGGGGCAGTTTGAAGGGACCTCTTTTCTCTCATGAAGTACCAATCTGATTGTGAACTGCTGCAGACCTTTCTAGAAGCAAATTGGCAGTGTGCGCCTATTTGTATATTTATTGACCACCTGCTGTACAGCAGGCACTCTGCTTTCTGATCTTTCCTCAGAGGATGCTCAGTATTACCCACGTGTTTTGTTTTTTTTTTTTAATTTTTTTTTCAACGTTTATTTATTTTTGGGACAGAGAGAGACAGAGCATGAACGGGGGAGGGGCAGAGAGAGAGACACAGAATCGGAAACAGGCTCCAGGCTCTGAGCCATCAGCCCAGAGCCCGACGCGGGGCTCGAACCCACGGACCGCGAGATCGTGACCTGGCTGAAGTCGGACGCTTAACCGACTGCGCCACCCAGGCGCCCCTACCCACGTTTTTAAGAGCCAGTTAAGATCCGGAGTGTGGGCCTCGCTCAGAGTAATTGGTCTAGGACCACAGCCTATGCCTGGGCTGCCGTAGCACGGGCCTTACAAAGGTTCACACTCTGCCAAATTGGAAGTATTTCCTGAAGGAAAACTTCAGCCTGCAAACAAAGCTGGATGCCCCAAAATAGTATTTGCTATGTATAAATGACCATCAGAATGTGTTACGTGTCCACCACTGGACAGACTGTATACACTAAAATATGCCACCATTAACAATGAGCTCTGCGTGGCAGGTTGAGTGGACTTCTTTGTGTTTTCCAGACTTTCTATAATGAACAGCCTTTATAATCAGGAAAGAAACTTTTCAATGATAACCCTTAAAATTTAAAATAACACTTTTTAAGTGGGTTACTTAGTATTTAGGCTCAACCTTAAAAATCTGCACTCGCTCCCCTGAGAACACAGAAGTGATATTTAGAAATCTCCATCAGGTGGCAGTGCTGACCTAGGGTTTGACAAGTTCCATGCTCTCTGCTGGTGTCTGCCCTGCACTGTGGCCTTTGCTGCCTTCCCTGTGTTCTGCCTGTTTAAGGATGGGGATGCCTCTTCCCTGCAGCTCATAACCCTCTTGGTCCTGGTAGCAGTAGCAACAGATCTGATGGAGCAGTTCTCTCCCTGGAGCACTGACACTCTTTCCTCCTCTCCAGAAAGCTGCCGGGAAGGGCGTGACCCACATCCGGGTGGTCGTGAAAGGCCTGGGGCCAGGGCGCTTGGTAAGTGAGCCGGGGTCTCCGCAGGGTGTGCGCTTCCTTCCTGAGAGAAACAGGGCTTGAGCGCAGAGTCAGGAGACTGGGAAAACCCTGTGGTGGATTTCCATGAGGGCTTCAGTTTCTTTCTGGTCTTTGAACCTACTAAGCTTCTCAAAAGCATGCCCAGATCACTTAGTTTAACTCATCAGACACTTATTGAGTGCCTGCTGTGTGCCAGGCACTGGGAATAGAAAGGTGCTCCCTGGGGGCTGTCACAGACGGACCCCTCGGCACAGACAGCAGGTGCAGTGGTAAAGCTTGTGCCCAGCGTGTTGGGTGCCCATGGGGTATTTCCCCAAAGGTGACATCTTTACTGACTTTTCAAGAATAGCAAGGTATTAGCCAGGTGTGGGGGGAGAGAGAGGACATTCCAGGCAGAGGAAACAACAAAAGCGTAATGCTTACAGGGTGTTGGGGTTTACAGATACTCTTAGTTGTCAGATTCCAAAGCACACGGTGGGAAGTGGTCGGTGCACCTAGAGAAATGGAAGCATCGAGGACGTGGTTGAGGGGTTTGGTCGGGAGTCCTTTGGGAGAGATCAGAGTCAGGATTGTAGGTATGAAAGCCCCACCCCGGCCCTTTCCAAGGCCCATCTGGACATGCTGGGTCACCGTCTCTGGGACCATGCCATTCTACTGTTCCTTCTGCCCCTTCTAGTCTGCCATCAAGGGACTGACCATGGGGGGCCTGGAAGTGATCTCAATCACAGACAACACCCCCATCCCGCACAACGGCTGCCGCCCCAGGAAGGCTCGGAGGCTGTGACGGAAAGGAAGCCTGCCCCTGAACGTGACCTCAAGTCCCGCCTCCAGCTGGACCTCATAGAAAGCACACTGTCAGAGCTCTCTCCAGAGGAGGGCTTGCCGGAGACCCTCAGGGAGTAAGACAGAGCTTTGCCCCCTTATGTGGTCTTCTCACTTGTTCCTTCGACTGGAGACCGGTACCCAGAAGTGACTCAAGAGGAGCCCCAGGGTGGCTGATGCCCAGACTCCAACCAGGAAATGCCGCCTCTGCTCTGGAAAAATAAAAATGTCTCTACATGTGCAGTGGTTCGTGCGTGCTCTCTTCCAGAGTTGCAAACAGCGTTCCCCGCTGCCTTCTGACAGTGAGAAAGTGATCGTGGGTCGAGGTGAGAGCCTAGACAGAGGCTGAAAAGGGAAGTCTGAGCTGTTGTTTATCAGATAGCCTCCTCATTGGTTTCAGGTATTTCCTCTCGGGCCCCAAACCGAGGGCTTTTTGCCTCCTACCTCTGGAGTATCGTGGGAGTAGAAGATCCCACTGTTAGCAGACACGTCTAAAGTTCGCACCCGTGGTGGAAAAGGACCCTGCCTGAGCTCAGGTTCCATAAGTGTGGACGGTCAGAGCTTCCCCACAGCGAAGTCACCTGACGCCCACCCAAGCCCTTCAGCATCCCCAGCACCCAAGATTGGGGGACCCTAAAGGGAAGAGATAGAGGGGTGTAAGATGGGATTCTCTAGAAAATCGGGTGGGTGGAGGGGTGGGCAGGAGCAGGAATTGGTGGGGAGCCCAGAAGGTGTGGACACCAGTGGGCTCAGCCTGGGAACCCCAGGCAGGACTGGCTGCTTGCTGATGGGTTCTGGGCTCCCCGGATACCACGCGGGAGCTGAGGGTGAGGGGTCTAGAGACCCTGGGGCTCTGCACCCCCTGGAATACCACACGGGAGCCAAGGGTGAGGGGTCTGGAGACCCGGCAGGAGGGACCCGGCCTCCCTGGACAGCAGGCCAGCATCCAGAGCGTCCACACATGCCGTTTCTCCCACGTGAACAAGGCTGCAGGAAGGGCCTGCCGAGCACAGAGAGGTGGGCGCCATGCAGTCCCACATCTGGGCCCAGCCGGCCAAGCAATGTCATCTGCCTGAACTCCTGGGACTTCATCCACAGGCGCTGTCTCAAACAGGAAAGCACCTGTGATATGCAGGGTTAGAGGGGAGAAAGACCACAGGCTGGGCGTGAGTTTAGAAGGAAAAAATGTCTCCCTACTGCCTTCTCTTCTGTCCTCGGAAGGACCTGAGGCTGACTTGTGACCCTTGACTGAAGAAACCCAACCGGAGGCTTGTCGGGTTAAGGCCGTTGCTGGAAAGTGTTCTGTTGTCTCAGCAAAAGCACGTAAACAGGATTCATGAAAAAAACACGAGCGCTCACACAGCCCTTGAGAACGGCTCTGTGATTTGTTGGGGTTTAGCCTTTATTCAGGTGGGCAGAGGACCGTCAGACGGTTTATCAGGCAGGGCCCAAGCAAGAAACAAATGGTTGCAAAGGTTTAAGAGAGAAGTTTAACGAAGGTTCTCTACAGAGGTGTGGGCGGGGTTGAGGGAACGAACACGGCCGCATTCCCCTTCTAGCAAGAGCCGGAAGCCCTCCCACCCGCAGCTGCCAGGGGCAGGGGGAAGCACGGTTCCCAGAACCTGGCTGCGGGGAACGCAGCCTCGGTCCCGGAGGCTCAGCCTCACAGGCCACAGTGGTGGTCCCCATCCTTCCTGAAGAGCGGTCCTCTGTACGCTAGTTTTAGAAAACGTTCTCTTAATCACAGCGGGGCTTTGAACAGGAAAATCACACCCAGGGGAGCCTGCAAGCACAGACAGGACACCGGGGCCCTAAAGGATCGATGGTTTTGGGTCCAGAAACAGATGCCTGGCACTGCCTCCAGAGCCCACGGTCAGGGTATGCTGGAGGGTGCACGCCGCGTTGGTGTGAGCGCTCCGTGCACACCGTGGTGTGCAGGCTCTGTGAGGCCAGGCCAGGCTCCGGTGCTCTCTTAAACTGTAGTATGGTCTTGACCTCTCAAAGACCTGCTCCCCACCCCTCCCTCCCCCCACCCCCGAGAAGACTAAAGCGCGTGCACCCAAGTCTGACTTAGTAAGGCAGTTAACCATTGACCTCAACTGCTGGCCGCCCCGTCCCCTGCGGCTGCAAACCCTTCCGAGCATCGGGTCCCACGGTCCTGAGAACACAGGTGGGCCGTGTGCTCGCACCTTCCCAGGGGCAGAGAACAGGCAGAGCTGGGCGGGGGGTCCCCACTCTGCACCAGCAGAGTGTCGGCATCAGCTTGTGTGACGACTTCCTCGTTTCCGGGCAGCAGGGCCCCGGACTCTCTATGAGGCACCTGCAGTTTTGCCCCAACCGCCTCCGAGCCGGTGGCACAGGACTGGCTCCGTCACGGAAGCCTCTCTGCTCCCACGCAGGCAGAAGGGCAAATACGACTTCTCTCCTTTCCGCAGAGACCCAGTGTTTTCCCTTTTTCCAGCCGAGGTCATCACCTGACACTGACATGTACCGTCACCGCCGAAATAAGCCTGCTTCACGTTAGAGCACCTGGACGCTGGCAGAACATCCCTGCACGTTAAGGGAAACCATTCTCCAATTACCTCTGCCTGCAACCTTGCCCTGACACATCCATTCAAAAAAACCCACAAAACATGCGTATATACCTTCCCCCTGGGCTCCCTTATTATTTTTCTCTACTTGTTTTTCCTCTAGTGGATAGACACACTGCTTTTTAAATCTGAGTAGTATCAGCCCCAAGCAGAAATTACCCATTCAACCGAATTAAGCAAACATAGGTTATTTTTTTTTGCACAAACAGGTTGGGCACCGGGGGAACAGAAATGCCGTGACCGTCCTGCATGAAGCTCACGGTCTGGGGAAGCTAGACAGACACGGGGCCAAATCAGAAAGAAGTTCCAGAAAAGAGGCATGAGTGGCCTCGGTGTTTGAGTGTAAGAATGGCCCCCTCAGTTTCAGGGACGGAAGGGAGGGCTTTATGGGGGAGATGGCAAGCAAGAGAAGCCACCGGACCGGACTGTGTCCTTAGGATGGAAAGCTGGCAAGGCAACACAGCCCAGGTGGAGGGGTCAGAGATCATCGGGTTACTGGGTGTAGCTTGGTTGGCATGGAGGGGGTGGTCCCGGGGTTCAGACCGGATAGGAGGACAAATGGAGGGAGAAGCTTACGGAAGGAGTCAAATACCTTGTGGCTACACCAAGAATAAAGGGTAGGTCCAGCAGATGCGGAGAAGGGGAGGTGGGTATGGAGAAGGCAGGAGACAAGAAGGAACTCCAACATTAGGAACTTTAACGCTCGCTGTTTACAGGCGATGAAATTGGGTAGGTAGGCATCGTCTAAGATCAACTGGAAATAAGAATCCCAGAGGTTTAAGGCAGGAAACTATGAGCTGCAGACAGAGTTGTCCGTCTTAATGCTGAAGCCACAAAGGGAAGCCGGAAGGGGACAGAGAAGAAGGCTGTGAGAGCAAAGGTCCCTAAACGAAGCCCAGTGGCCCAGAGAAGAGGAAGAGCAACCCCCTCCCGTGGCCACCGCTGTGTGTGTGAGGTGCAGGGTTGGGGGAGCGGAGCTCTGGGGGCCAGGGAGGAAAGGGAGGGGTGGCGGGAGTCACGAAGCGGAAAGCAGGCTGCGCGCTGGGACTGGGGTGCGGGTGCGGAGGAGGGGTGCAAATGGAAGGGGCCTGTCATGCCTGGAGGAGGCAGGGACAGGGACCCACCATAGCCCCGGTCTGCACGGACAGAATCTGGGTCCAAGGTCTGCTCTGCTTCTAACCTGCTTTTATATGGAATATAAAAGGTCAGAAAGCATGAAGAGATGCTCAGTCTTACCAGCAAGCAGGAAATGGGAGTTAAAATACAGGACCTTCCTTCCCCAAATGATGCTAATCAAAGCCATGGTGGGGCAGAGACTGCCCAGGAAAAAAGCAGAGAATGAGGAAAGCAGGAGGCTGAGTCGTAAGAGTTGTAAATGCTCCAGGAGGACAAGGCTGCAAAGCAGGTGGGGGGGGGGGGGGAAGCGGTCAGAGAGGCAGCAGGTGTGGTGTCTCGAGAGCCAAGGGACAAAGTGCAGGCTGTGGCTCAGAGCTCTAGCCAGGTGAGGACCGGGCAACAGCCACCTGGATTTGGCAACGCGGAGGTCACCGTCCGCCAAAGGGAGAGTGGCTGGGGGAGCGTGGGAGGTGAGGAGAGAGGCGGAGGATCCTGGTAACGTCTGTGTCGTGGCTACAGGGAGCATGCCAGAACACCCGCACTCTCCCCTGAGAAGTGGCGGGCCAGGAGTCGGGGTGTGGAGGCGCCCCGGACCTCAGGGAGGAGAGGGAAGTGGCTCGGAGCTGGGGAGAGGCAGCCCTCAGCAAGGTGGCAGGAAGCCAGGCCTCAGGGGAGAGGCAGCCCGCGTGGGGCTCCCTGTGACAGGCGTGCCCACTGTAAGTTGGGGACAGCTATGCTTGACTGGTCACCAGCAACTGAAACAGAATATCCTTGCAATCAGCACACAAGTAACGTTTCTCCCCACCTACCCCACCACCACTGCCCCCACACGCCATACAATTGTTCTGAAGTGAAATAAAAGCGCTATTCCTCTCTGAGCCCTTACTGGGGGGACTAGAAATAGCTAGAGCCTCTTCAGAAGGAAGTTTGGCAGTATCTGTCAACACTTAGGATGTACAGACCTTTGGCTTCAGAATTCCCTTCAAGGAATACATCCTGGGGAGCGAGCGACGCTGTCCCAGAGAACATTGTCCCTGTGCAATACAAATGCTCCACCTCCCCGCTGGCTTGTTGGCTACTGGCCCCATGTGGCTCTTGAGAACCTGAGATGTGGGTAGCATGACCAAGGAGCTGAATTTGGGGTTTTATTCAGTTCGGATTAACGGACACGTGCATAGAAACGTGCTGGTGGTACCTACTACCTTGGACAGTGCAGTTTAGATCCTGTTCGTGGGTGTGGCAAGTATATGCAAAGATACAGATTTCCTGAAGCACTGTGAGTAAAGACCAAAAACTGCAACCAAGATGTGCATCAATAGCGGGCCAGTAAAAGACATCACGGTGCATCCATTATAATGGAGAGTTAACCCTGAAACAAGCCAACATGTATCGCTGAGTGAAAGATAAAAGGGTCCAGGGGACAGTGTGCATAGGATAGTCACTAATTTTTGTACAAA